TGGATGCATTTAGAGAACATGCAAAATGGAATAAACTCAACATAGAAAGAGTAATATTGCATGATTTCCCTTATATGTGGAATCTAAAATAGCCAAATTTATAGAAGCAAGGAGAATGGTAGTTGCCAGGAGCTAGGGTGGGAGGAAGTGGAAAGATATTGGTCAAAGCATCCAAAGTTTCACTTATACAGATAAATGAATTTTGGAGATCTAATGCACAGTATGGGAACAGTAACTAAAAATACTGTATTGTATATTTGAACTTTGCTAAGAGGGTAGGTCTTATTAAGTGTTTTCAACAGAAAGAAAAAGGGAGAAAAGGAAGGTGCATAGGGATGGACTAGGAGAGTAAAAGAGAGAAAAAGGAAGTAAGTAAGAAAGAAAATGGTAACTATGTGAGGTTATAGATATGTTAATTGACTTGATTATGGCAATCTTTTCCAATGTATGCATGTATCAATATATCAAGTTGTTATTTTAAATATGTACTTTTTATTTTTTTAATTATTCCTCAAAAAGCTAGAAAAGAAAGAATGCAATAGAGTATAGACCCTTAAAAAGAGAAATTATAAAGTCTCTATTTTTATTAATAAATAAATTAATTTTTAAATTTATATTCCAGTTAGTTAGCATATAGTGCAATAATTATTTCAAGAGTAGAATCCAGTGATTCATCCCCTACATATAACACCCAGTGCTCATCACAACAAGTGTCTTACTTAATGTCCCTTGCCCATTTAGCCCATCCCCCCACCCCAACCCCTCCAGCAGCCCTCATTTTGTTCCTATATTTAAGACCATTATGTTTTTATATTGTTTTTATTTACTTTCCCTTATGTTCATCTGTTTTGTGTCTTAAATTCCATATATGAGTGAAGTCATGATATTTGTCTTTCTGTGACTAATTTTGTTTGGCATAATACACACTGTTGCAAATGGCAGGATTTTACTCTTTTTTATTATCAAGAAATATTCATTGTACCACATCTTAAATCTATTCATTTGTCAAAGGACATTCAGACTCTTTCCATACTTTGGCTATTGTTGATACTGCTGCTATAAATATTGGGATGCATGTGCCACTTCAAAACAGGACACCTATATCCTTTGCATAAAAACCAGTAGTGCAATTGCTGGATCATAGGGTGTTCTATTTTTTTATTTTTTGAGGAACCTTCATACTGTTTTCCAGATTGGCTGCACCAGTTTACATTCCCACCAGCAGTGCAAAAGGTGTCATCTTTGTCTACTTCCTTGCCAACATTTGTCATTGCCTGAGTTGTTCATTTTAGGCATTTGACTGCTATGAGTGGTATCTCATTGTGGTTTTGATTTGTATGTCCCTGATGATGAGTGATGTTGAACATTTTTTCATGTGTCTGTTAGCCATTGGGATGTCTTTTCTGGAAAGCTGTGTATTCATGTCTTTTGCCCATTTCTTCATTGGATTATTTGTTTTTTGGGGGAGTTGAGTTCGATAAGTTCTCTATATATTTTAGATATTAACCCTTTATCTGATATGTCATTTGCAAATATCTTCTCCCATTTTGTCCATTGCCTTTTAGTTTTGCTGATTGTTTCTTTTGCTGAAGCTTTTTATCTTGATGAGGCCCCAATAGTTCATTTTTACTTTTGTTTCCCTTGCCTCTGGAGACATGTTGAGTAAGAAGTTGCTGTGGCTGAGGTCAAAGAGATGTTTGCCTTTTTTCTCCTCTGGATTTTGATGGCTTCCTGTCTTATGTTTAGGTCTTTCATCCATTTTCAGTTTATTTTTGTGTATGGTGTAAGAAAGTGGTCCAGGTTCATTTTACAGCATGACACTATTCAGTTTTCCCAGCATCATTTGCTGAAGAGACTGTCTTTGTTCCATTGGATATTCTTTTCTGCTTTATCAAAAATTAGTTAGTCATACATTTATAGGTCCATTTCTTGGTTCTCTATTCTGTATCATTGACCTAAGTGTCTTTTTTTGCCAGTACCATACTGTCTTGATGATTATAGCTTTGTAATACATCTTGAAGTCTGAAATTGTGATGCCTCCAGCTTTAGTTTTCTTTTTCAGGATTGCTTTGGCTATTCAGCATCTTTACTGGTTCCATATGAATTTAAGATTCTTTGTTTTGCTCTGTGAAGAATGCTAGTGTTATTTAATAGGGATTGCACTGAATATGTAGATTGCTTTGGGTAGTATTGACATTTTAACAATATTTGTTCTTGCAATCCCTGAGCATGGAATATTTTTCCATTTTTGTGTGTCTTTTTCAGCTTCTCTCATAAGTTTTCCATAGTCTTCAGTGTATAGATTTTTCACCTCTTTGATTAGGTTTATTCCTAGGTATTTTATGGTTTTTAGTGCAATTGTAAATGGGGTCGCATCTGACAAAATACAGCATCCTTTCTTTAGAAAAATACTCAAGAAAGTAGGGGTGGATGAATCATACCTCAAGATCATAAAGGCTATTTATGAAAGACCCACTGCTAATATCATCCTCAATGAAGAAAAATTGAGATATTTCCCCCTAAGGTCAAGAACACGACAAGGATGTCCACTGTGACCATTGTTATCCAACCTGGTATTGGGAGTCCTAGCCTCAGCATTCATACCACAGAAGGAACTAAAATATATCCAACTCAACAAGGAGGAAGTCAAACTTTCATTCTTTGCAGACAACATGATAGTCTGTTTGGAAAACCCAAAAGATTCTACCAAAAACTGCTACAGCTGATTCATGAATTCAAAGTGGCAGGATATAAAATCAATGCACAGAAATTGGTTGTATTTCTATAAACCAATAATGAAGCAGCAGAAACAGAAGTCTCTACTTTTCAATAACCTATTTCCTTTACGTAGTATGAACATAACTAGCCAATTAAGTTCCCAAATAAAACCATTACTATAGACGTTTTCCATATCAGCTTAAATTCATGGCTTCAGAGCTTTCATCAAATAGTAACTTTCTCATTAGAAATATTCACTTAGGAAATCAGTTTTACTTATCCTTTTAGATTTATACGGTGGCTTATGCTTGAAAAGAGTTATATTCTTACAATACTCAATTTCAGATTTTCTCATCATTTATATACAACTATAGAAAATTCAACTCCTTTAATTCATGTTATTTAATGATGTAAATATATATTCTCTGGCAGTAACAATTTTTTTTTTTTGGCAGTACTGACCAGTAGGAGAAGATAGATAAGTTTAACAAATTACTTTTGTTTTTGTCAAGTTTTTTTTGTTAACAAAGGACTTTAAATAAGAAAACCTAAAGGAAGTTTCTATAGCTCTCTTTGCAGAAAGAAATTTACTCTATTCTGAGTAAATAGGCTAATGGCTAATTTGCCTACATGTAACAATATGAATGAGATGTTATACTACTTCTCTGTATTATCTGGAATGCCACAGTGAATTGGAGATGGAAAATAAAAGTAACTTATGGAATCTTCACCCTTCAATTGGGTTCAACACACAATTTGCTTTGAACAGTGGAAATATCAGCTATGACACAGAAGACCTGAACAGAATTAGCTCCTTGGGACTTGACTTCTTTGCTGTGCTTGGAGCCCTAAGACTATGCGGTGACTAGCCTAAACTAGACTGCTGGAAGACTTGGAGTCAAATAGAGGAGAACCAAGGAATTCTTGCTAAGGACTATGTAACTACCTAATAGTGAGGCCATCCTAAATCACATAGTCACTTGCCCATCTTTCAGTTGACAGCAGACACAAGGGAGAATCCTATATTAGCTGACCTTGCAAGACCAGAAGCCCACCTATAGACTTATGAACTGGATAAAAAAAAGTTTATATTGTTTGAAATTGTGTTTTATTGCACAATAAAAAGTTAATGATACATTCACCAATGTAAGGTGAAAAATAATTTTTAAAGAGGACTAGGGCCAAATAATATACAACTATGAACTATGTAGTTTGTCCATGGTTGCCCATGGGTTAAAAAATCTAGAAGTTTTCTACCTTAGGGAAAAAATTCTACTTAGTGATATAGAAAGTTTATTTTTTAATGTTTATTTATTTTTGAGAGAGACAGAGACAGAGCAGAGTGGGGAAGGGACAGAAAGAGAGGGAAACACAGATACTAAGCTGGCTTCAGGCTCTGAGCTATCTCCACAGAGCCCATCATGGGACTTGAACTCACAAACCATGACCTGAGCTGAAGTCATGCTTAACTGACTGAGTCACCCCCATTGAAAGTTTAAATCAAAGTGGCAAGTTTAATGTCTTGTGCCAAATAACTTCATTATATTCTGTAACCAGGAAGTTTAACTGAAATCAAGCTAACTGGCAAATTCAGTTTTTTTGGCACTATTGAAATCATGAAGGATGGTGCTAAGAATTATGAATCTATTATGAAATAAAAATATTTTAGAATATTTGTCTTTACTAAATGCTCACATTTTTCCAGCTTTATTGCTATATAACTGACATAAAGCATTGTATAAATTTTAGGTGTACAATGAGTTGATTTAATACATGATAAATTGCAATACGAATACCACCATAGTGTTACCTAATAGTTCCATTACATCATATAATTACCTTTGTGTGTGTTGTGAGAACATTCACATTTTAAACATACTTCAGAGTATCTATACTTGTACAATGAATTATATATAATATGCCATATCTTTTCTCTTTTCTCATCTACATTTTATTTCATTGTTTTTTATCACCTTATTTCTAACCTTTTTTAAAACTTTATATTTTATTATTTTTTTTTACAAATAGTTTATTGTCAAGTTGGTTTCCATATAACACCCAGTGCTCATCCCAACAAGTGCCCTCCTCCATGCCCATCTCCCCCACCTTATTTCTAACCTTAAACTAGTAATTGCGATTTAGGAACAAAACCAACAAAAATCACAAGAATTATTAAATGTAATTTTTGAAAGAGAAAGGAGTATGAGTGGGGGAGGGGCAGAGAGAGAGGGAGACACAGAATTCGAAGCAGGCTCCATCCAGGCTCCAAACTGTCAGCACAAAGCCCGACGTGGGACTCGAACCCACAACCCTGAGTTCATGACCTGAACCAAAGTCAGACACTCAACCGACTGAGCCATCCAGGCCCCCTACTTAAGTCTGTTCTTTAGGCAAGGAAATCATAAAGAGATTCTTACATTACTTCAAATTTATATTTCATAGAATGGACTTAATGTTATTTCTATTCCCTGTGAAATGAAAGAAAACAGTGATTTTTGAATTTTTCCAACACTGTGTTCTTGACCAGCTTCGATAACCTTAGGTGCCCTTCCTCCAGCAGGCAACCAATGGAATATTTTCCAGGCAACTTGAACCTGACTACCATCTTTATTGTACATATGGCTCACCCAAAAAATTGAAACCTAGAAGAGCAAGCCATATTCGTTCATATATTAATTTTCTTCCATGCCACTGAAAACTGATCCAGTCAACTCACCCCTTCTGAATTTTTCAGCAGACATGAGACACTTAAGCTTCCTAAGTTCCAAGACATGTGCTATGTTATATTAACAATTCCTTTGTGCCCTGCTAAAGATGCAGCATGGACTCAATATAAGAGTTTCTGATTCTTATCAATCTATGACTCAGGGTCAGTATGCAGATCATCTATCTTGGAGAATACTACTCCAGCTGTATCAAAGAGTTCTTTTGGTGGTATCTCAGTTGGATTGGAGGTAGAGTGCAGGAATAGAAAGAGAAAGAAAAATGCTTAGCATTCTTGATTCATATAAATAAATGGATAGACCTCCTGTTATATCTTTAGCTTTCTCTGGGCTACGTTTGGGTGATGATTGCTTAACCAACTTACATACCTTTTAGTAAATCTTGGACAAATGTGAATTGTAAATTCCTGTTGGTTCAGCTACAAAAATTTCCACTTAATATTGTTCAGTGAAATTGCTAGCTCGCATTAAATGTTCAATAAATGTAGACACAATGATCACATTATTAGCAGTTGGAACTAAAAAAAGGAAAGAAAACATAACTTAAACTAGAATTCCTGATTTCTGTTTATGGATCTAGATTCTTGATCTTGGTCAAGTCAACAAACTTATACTTGTCTCATTTTATAGATATAAATACATACATACCATATATAACCTGTGTGGTAAACTGTTTCCTTCGGCTTATAAGTACCTATAATTCTACCTACTATTCAGTCAATATAAAATATTTTTTGAGTTTAATTAACTATAACTATATGCTCAAACAGAAGAGTAGAAATAGCTTTATTTTTACTTTCATCATCGCAAATGGTGATATAATCACTATATATGAATGCAGACTTAAATCTCATGAAGACAATAATATGCTCTCAAGGGAATCTCAAGCATATTCATTCATCTTCTTTAGCTCTGAGTTGGTTGGACATAGAGAACCCACTTGGATACATATCAAAGAATATTTTCTTAACTTTGATTACCAAGCCTTAAATGTTTTATTCTAGAACTGGGTATTGATATTTGTGGTACCACCATTCAAGAACCATGTTAGGAATTGAGACTAAGAAAAAAAATAAATAAATGAGATAAGCCACATTTCCATATTTCTCGCATTTAAATTAAAGAGTTTCATATATCTTCTAACAATATTTCATATGGAGTAAACCTTGACAATAGTTGTGCTTCTGTAGCCTTTGAAGTCAGAGGTAAAGCTGAAAGCAGAAATCCATTAACTTAAGCCTATTGCATTTCCAAAAAATGACACAATTAGAATTTTCCTAGGATTGCTGATCAAATGGAACCATAGTTGAATCTCTCAGACACACCTGAACTAAACATGTCAGATATTATGTTTATAGATGTTGGCTTTCAATATAACCTAAAGGGAAATGTCTGTATCTTTGTTACGTGACTCAATATCACTTATGAAAAAGTCATTTGTCCTCTTATTTTTTAATGTTTATTTTTGAGAGTGAGAGAGTGGGAAAGAGAGACAGATTGAGCAAGAGTGGAGGAGGGGGAGGGAGAGAAGGAGACACAGAATCCAAAGCAGACTCTAGGCTCCAAGCTGTCAGCACAGTGCCCGACATGGGTCTTGACCTGAGCTGAAGTCCAATGTTCAACTGACTGAGCCACCCAAGTACCCCTCATTTGTCTTCTTATTGTGCATATAAATTTAGAGCATTGTATCAAGAAATATGATCAGATTTTCCTTAATTAATATGGAGTCCAAAAGTAAGACAATGATTCAAATAGATCCTAAGAAATAATGCATCCGGGGGCATCTGGGTGGCTCTGTTGGTTAAGCATCAGAGTCTAGATTTTGGTTCAGGTCATGATCTCATGATTTGTGGGTTTGAACTTAGCATTGGGCTCCTCACTGACAGTCTTGTCTGCCACTCCCCTGCTCTCTCTCTTTATTAAAGTAAATAAACTTAAAAAAAAGAGAGAGATTGGCCCCCTAAAAAAAAAAAAAAGAAAAAGAAAAAGAAAAAAATAATGCATCTGTGTAAGAAATGCAAAGACCCACAGCCTATTAAAACAAAGAACAACAACTCTGGTCCACTTTTGTGATCTGTTCAAAAAGAAAAGGAGAGAGGCAGAAAAAGAAACCAAGAAACAGACTCTTAACTATAGAGAACAAACTGGTGGTTTGTGAAGGGAAAAGGTAAAGGAAATTAAGAGTATATTTACCATGATGAGCACTGAATAATATATGGAATTCTGACATTGCTGTATAGTGCACCTGAAACTAATAAAACACTGATCATTAACAATACTGGAATTAACATTCAAAAAACAATAAAATGTTTAAAATAAAATTAAAAAATTAAAAATTAAAATTAAAAATGATAAGTAAATACATTGTGCTACAACAACACAGTGGTATTACAACAAATGCAAAGTAACAAACTACAGTATATATAAAAACCTAGATAAGTCTCAAAGTTATTACAGTAAGTACAAAATGCCAGCCTTACAAGGTTGCATACTTTATAATTCCATGTATGTAATTAACCCTGGTTGCCAGGGTTGGGCAGGCAAGTGCCAGTACACAGAGATAATATGAAATAATTTTGGGGGTGTTGGAACTTATACTGCACTATGTGCTGGTGTTTGCATGAGTCTATACATATTTTTAAATTGACAGATCTGTATACAAAAAAAGAAAAAAAGCTAACTTTACCATATCAGAATTTAAAAACAAACAGCATTTCTAAGGAAAAATGTGTTCAGAGATCATTTTGAGAAGTGTACCCAAATAAAAATCAGACTTCCTACACTGTTTTATAAAAATTCTCCCCAAACAAAAATCAAAATACCATGAAATACACTTCTTATTAAGATTTAATAAATTTCTAGAGAATTTAATAAAATTCTAGAGAAGCTATTCTTATTTTTATTCAGTGTCATAATGTCATCATGAGAATTGAATTTGAGATGCAGTTTGAACATTAAAAAAAAAAAAAGACTTAGCTTTCAAAAGTCCTAGGAGAAGGAGGGCGTGTGGGTGACCTCATTATTCAGTTTTAAATTTAGCAAAGGAGAAACTGACAAGAGGAACAAGGACTATGGGCAGAAGTGGCAGCAGGTGGAAGGCAGAACATTTTGGAAAGAATAGACTCTGTCATCACAGTGAAGAGCTTGAATTAGAGAGCCATAGTTGAACACTGGAGTATTCTAGAGGTTTTGTGTATTTTGTTCTGAAATAACAGTGTCCACAGTCTTTATCCTTCTTTCCTTAGAAAGCATATCCAACATTTTTAAAATGTGTATCCAACTTATATTAACCAATTACAGTGAAATGAGACTAATTTGTTAAAAGAATTAAAACACACATTTTTAAAAACAAATCCTGGGCTTTATTTATGTCATTGCTATACTCACAAAGTTTTATTATTCATGTATTAAAATTCTAAAAATATTATATAATATATAAAACATCCAGATGACATGAAAAATAATAAATAAAATGACTTTGATCTTTTTGTAATAACCCAAATTGATATACTATCATCTTCTTTAAATACTTTAATTTTTTTCTTATTTTATTCCCTTCCCTCCAAATTCCTTTTGGAAGAGCATAATGCACACCACTCTATTTTGTCAATGTAAAGCCTAACACTAAAAATTTAAGTGGTTTCAGGAAAAAAGAAATTCTGGACAAAAGCCACAAGTAGTCTCTTCTTACAGATCTTATTCAATCTAACAGACATCATCATCTTCTCATATGGACTTATTCAATATGGAATTAAAATTAAATATTTATAGTTTTATGTCTGAACACAGGTGGCTTCTTGGGCTGCATTAAAATTTAGACTCTTTCCTTTCAGAGTTTGCATTAAAATTGAAGCTGATATCCAATTATATCTAAGAATTTGATAGAAAATGGACACACATTAGAACTTCTTAACATACAATGTGATATGTATATTTAATGCAAACTGTTACAGTTTTCTGGAAGTTAGGTGTTTGTGCCTCTTTCTTTCTTTCTTTCTTTCTTTCTTTCTTTCTTTCTTTCTTTCTTTCTTTCTTTTTCTTTCTTTCTTCTTCTTTTTTCTTTTTTTTTTTTGCTGTAGACATACATACGGGGAAAGTGGTTATTTGTCAGTATGCCCCCTGAGCACAGCACTGTGTTAGTACATAATATATATCTAATAAATACTGCTGAATGAAATAAACATGTCAATACATGAAAGAAATGACTAGCCAGTTATCAGGCATTCTAAAGTGTTTTCTGCACACATAAACAGGAGGAATAAAAGGAAAAATCTTTGAAAATACGACTATAACCATCCAAATGAGTAGCAGCCAGCATCTGGAACTGAGTTTATATGAAGGTATTCGTGAAGTGGTTAAATAGAAATATTCAGAAATTAAGTAGCCAAGAACACTGCATCCTGTGAAATGTAATGAAGAAATTTACATTACATCAATGTAATGAAGAAATTTAGATTCTTTACATCAGCATAATGAAGAAATTTACATTCTTTTAAGTAGGGAAGTCTTTTCAGGTTTCAGATAATCTAGAAGCAACTTGTTTCCTGATATCACTGACCCACCCCAAAACAAATCAGAAAGATAATACTGAAAAGTAAGATACAGATTTTTAAAAAAGGAGAAGAGAGAGAGCATATTGTATT